GAGCTGCTGGAGAGAGTCCAGCGCAGGGCAACCAAGATGATTAAGGGAGTGGAGCATCTCCCTTATGAGGAAAGACTGAGGGAGCTGGGTCTTTATAGTTTAGAGAAGAGGAGACTGAGGGGTGACCTTATAAGTGTCTATAAATATATAAAGGGGGAGTGTCACGAGGATGGAGCCAGGCTCTACTCAGTGGCAAACAATGATAGGACAAGGGGTAATGGGTGCAAACTGGAACACAAGAGGTTCCACTTAAACTTGAGAAGGAACTTCTTCTCAGTGAGGGTGACGGAACACTGGAACAGGCTGCCCAGGGAGGTTGTGGAGTCTCCTTCCCTGGAGACATTCAAAGCCCGCCTGGACACATTCCTGTGTAACGTTAAACTTTTGAGGTCCCTTCCAATCTCCAGCATACTGTGATACTGTGAATCTGTGAGAACTTCTGAATGGTCCTTTTTTAATGGGTGCCATCAACCAAAACAACTTTGTCCTTTTTGTATGACTCATCACTACCCATAGACATTTAGTATGTGTTGACTTTAACAAGGCACAGTGGGGAGAAGACTCATTGGGTACAAAGAGCACACTGAGCTACAGATGGCAGTGTCCAGGGCATGTGGGGTGTCCAGGGCAAGAAATGGCTGATTTTCGTGACCAGCAGAGGACAGTCTTCTGTCTTCCTCTCTGAGGAAAAGTTTGGGAGCACCAATTAACTGCAGTGTGTCAAGAGGCAGGATCTGTGGTCACTTGCAGGTCTTGAACTTGCCATAAAAGCTTGGTGGTGCCTTGGACAAGGCAGTATTTTAAGTTCTGACATGGGAGTCCATAGCTGTAGTTTGTCTCCCCAGCTTCTGTTCTTCATTAGAACATACTTCCTGCTTCTGTTCTTCAGCTGTTCTGAAAAAAAGCTGTATTCAGTTATGCTCAGCCCCATCAATTCCCAGGGAAAGTAAGTAAAGTATTGGTGACTTTTGGGGTAGTCTTACCCAAGGAAAGAATTTCATTCTAGCTCTCTCCTTTCTTTGTTTTTTTCCTTTCTGCTGTTGGGTTGCTCAGTTCTCTGGTAATCTTTGTTCAGGGACATTTGTTAAGACAAGCTGATCCTAATGGTTTCTTTGGGCCTCCGCAGCCAGCAGAATGGCTGTAGCAGGAAGCAGACACATGTTTTCTGAGTACAGCGTCAGAGCTGAGTAGTTCAGTAGTCTTTGTCACTCTGAGACACTCTGGATAGCAGTCCTGTCACTGATTTTACAACATAGGGATGTGCTCTAGCATCACACAGTCTTTAAGGTTCTTTCCAACCCTAACCATTCTAGGAGTCTATGATCACCTAACCAACATCTGGTTGAACTTGGATAGCTACTGTTATTATACTGCAATTCGTATGTCTCCAAATGAATTTAGTTCTGTTAAAAAAAAACAAACCAAACCTAATCTTGCTTTTCTTAGTCTTTTCCTCAGCCTGTGAATTGAGGGGGATTTCTTTCCCCAGAAAGCCAGCAGCATAACAGCTCTACTGTTTGAAGGATGGCTTACTTTGCACTCTGGATATGCTTGATTACAGTTACACAGAGACTCAAACCACTACATAAGCTGTTAATGTAGAAGCACAAATAATAATATTGCAGAGGTGTTACATCACTGAAAGTGGCCCAGGTCCAAAGCAGGATTTGGGTATGTGCTTCAGGCGGTTGGGTTATATGCCTGTACCAGATGGAGACTTTAAATTTTCATCAGCAGGTTTATAAACACAAAGAATATCCTTTTATCAGCCTCCAGGTCTTTTACTAATAAGCTGCAAATGCTGAACTTTAATTAGCAGGGAGTGGAGGTGCAGATGAAATAAGATACATTCTTACTGATGATTATCCATCATGTGAGAATAAAAACAAGACATGAGTAATGGCCTGTTTCAGTTTTTTGGGGCTTTTCTGTTGGTGTGTTTTGTTTTGATGCATACTTGGTAGTATAAATGAGTGAAAATAGCTAAAAAATAAATTGAGGCAGATTCTCTGGTGATGAAACTCCATTGCAGGCAAATGGAGTGTGAGTTTTCAGCCCTGCTCATCTTTGCATTGACTTCTGTAGGCCAAGTCAACACAAGGGTGTGTGACAGCTGTGGGGGTAAGTTTGCCATGGAATCATTCCCCCACCCTTTACTCAGTCTTGTCACATAAGTCATAGGGTCACAGAATGGTTTGGGTTGGAAGGGACCTTAAAGCTCATCTAGTTCTAACCCCCTGGGGATACCTTCCTCTAGAGCAGGTTGCTCCAAGTCCCGTCCAACCTGGCCTTGAACACTGCCAGGGATGGAGCAGCGACCATGGATGGGCAAGGATAAAGAATTTACAAAACTACATCTTTTCTGCTGCTGAGAGCTAGCCAGAGAGGTCTGGCCTTTGAAGTATCACTGCTGTGTGGAACCCAGGAATCCCCACTTTCTTGAGGGGTGCAAGTGCATGGAGAGGGAAAAGGGATTGATTAGTTTAATGCTGCCTTTTTTTTTAGCAGCGTGTTTGCTGGCCTACGTGGCGTGCTTGAGCGCTGTATGTGTGCCCCAGCTGAGAAGCTCTTTCTAGACCCTGCAGGCATCCAGCTACTGGGCTTGTGCTTTGTGGTTTATAAATCATTCAGGAGACTTGTGTGTTACAACAACAGTATCAGCTCTTTAGAGTGTGTCAGGGAAGGACCTTGACTGGTATCTTTTCGAAAGGAAAAGGGTTGAGTGTATGTGCAAAGTTGGCACATAGTTTGAGAAGGTTTTGGGAAATGGTAAGGGAAGTTAAGGAAAGATGCAACTTTGTGCGATGTAGATTGGTCCTGGAAATTCTGCATCTAACTTTCCATGTCTTCCCTTAAGAAGGCTTTGCTAGAAAAGTAAGCCACTAAAAGACCTACTGTTGAAAAACAGAGATATATAAATTCTAATCAGTAGCTGAAAGAAAAATGTTCCACCAATAATATAATTGAGTACTTTCTGACTAATCAAGCCCCAACCCCCTGAAATACATACCTTCCTCAGTGGATTGTGATTCCACAAAGGATGGCTGCTTCATAGGTCATAGTAGAATAGAATAGTTTAAGTTGGAAAAGACCTTTAAGATCATCTCATCTGACTAGACATCTAACACTGCCAAGCCCACCACTCAACCATTTTAAATACCTCCAGGGATAGTGAGTCAACCAATTTCCTGGGCAGCGTGTTCCAGTGCTCGATAACCTTTTCAGTGAAGAGATTTTTCCAAACATTCAATCTAGGATGGTGGGAGAAAGGCAGAACAGCACTGATTGCAAAGATCTCCCCTGACAGGATGAAACCAACGGGAGTTTGTTCTTACCACATTGTGTAGGGTTGAGATTTGTAGCTGGAGGCAGCTGCTGCTCTTTCACAAAATATGGCTTTGAGCTGTGCATAAGAAGTAGGAAGACAACAGCACAGCACAGGGGTTTGCAGTTGCTACAGGGGTCTGAGTACAAGTGCCCCTTGATTGAATTATCTGAGATGAATGAGCCTTCAGTTCTAACTTAACATTGGCACCAAGGCAAAATGGACCTGTTCTCTTTGATTTGCTCTGATTTGCTACTCTGATGACATATATTGATGTTAAAAGAAGGCCACTAAGCTTTTCTTTGTGCTGCATTGGAAATGACACATTGCAAGATGAGGAAGAGTTCTATTTTAAATTGCAGAATTGGAGATGAAGTGAAATTGAAAAGAAAGATCAAAGATAGAAAGTAGGGGGAGGAAGAAAGAGGCAACGTACAATGTGGCGGCTGAGACATCTTGATTTCATTTTAATGAGTCTCTGACCACTCAGGGAGGCGAGGGTCATTCTTTGTGTTACTGGGGGGGGGGAAGAACAGCCTTCTGCTGCTGCACTGAGATTTGCTTTGAACGTGGTCTCTTACCAAAGAGAAGGGCTGCACTCTGCTTCCTGCTTCACAGGATTAGAAAAGACTGAGCTGTTTTCTAACTCCTGCGTCCTACTTACGTAACTTGCAGATGACGGCTGTGCAACCTCTGCCTGAGCCCTGGAAAATTCTCCTGTCGGTGACTCAGGTGCTTGGCACACAGGCTTGTGGCGCAGCAGGCTTAGAGATGAGATTGCAGTTAGATGCACACACTGGGTACCAGAGCCCAATTCAAGGTCTCTTTATGGAGGCTCTTCCTACTAGAAGCTGTGTGTGACTTCCTCATCATCCTGGTCATGTCATTACCAAGTGTCTCTCTGCTGACACTATATTAATTATGTGCAAGTACCCTTTGTTTGCATTGGAACAGAAGAGAACCACAGGCCTGACTGTTGTCCAGAGATGTGGGTTAGCAAGGAAGGGGAAGAGCTAGGCAAGAGTGAGTCCTCATCCTTTGTATAAGGCTGCAGGATGTGCAGAGAACATTTGGAATGTAATCATAGAAGGGACCTTAAAAATCATCTAGTTCCAACCCCTGGATCTTCATGGGGGAGCACGAGGTCCCCTTCTACAGTCCCCATTCCCAAATTCCATGCAGTCACCATAACACTCTTGGTTTGGAGGCTCTAGATCTGGCTGAAAGCTAGGGGACAGGACAGCACAATGTGCTGTAAAATTGAGACTATGAAAAGGGAAAGATTAGACCCTGGGGATGAAGGGAGAAAACTGAAACAGAGGGAGACATGCTTTAGCTGCAAACTAGACTTCCCTGTGCTTCAGATGTCATCTCCAGCAGCAGCAGATCCCAATTTCCAGCTCTTTGGAACTGAGAGGAAGGTGTGTACCAGTGAGTACACTCAGCCACTGCACGGAGTCAAGGGTGGGACAACTGTGATATCCCCAGATGCAGCCCATCTTGTATGAATCTATGCAGCAAGCCCCTCTGGCAGTCCAGCCAGCTTTAAAGCAGTACTTAGCTTGTGCCTGCACAGGGTTTGTTTGCCAGACTGCAGTGAGGGGGGACAAAAAAAACCATCTTGCCACAGAGATGACCTGGTGACTAATCAGTTTCATTGATGTTGTGCTTGCAGGAGAGAGCAATCTATCCTCTGCAGTTCCTGCGGGCTTTGCTGCTGGAGGCTCTGAGGAAGCAAACGTGAGATGTTATCCAGAAGCAGAGTTATGTGAGCCCACCAAACCTATCGGTGCTGCGCTCTCCTCCATGTATGAACATGGTAATGCAGAAGATACCGATATCAGGAAATCTCTTGATGGCTTCTACAAAATGTATTGTAAAAAATGGCCAGACAGAACGGATCCCACCTACGAGGCTGCATCACGATGTCTGTCACAGAAAATTTCAGAGCTGGCAAACCGGGATGGAACAAAATATGCATCGCGTTGCCTGCAAATGGCCCAGGTGGTCTTGAACAGAGATGGGTGTAAGATCTTTCCAAACCACCCCACTACTGCTTGTTTTTCAAAGCCAGCTGAAGGAGAAGTTGTGTTGGAAGACATAAAGAGAACACCTGGACTCTCCGATGATGTCCTGCAATTCCTCTTGAAACAAACATGGACTGAACAGAGCCCTGACATGTCACATGAGAAATGAGCAAGACACAGCAGGAGGGGGGATGTTTCTGTCATTGGAGCTTTACTTTCACTGTGAAAAAAGGTGATCTTAGAAAGTAACTCTTCTCTTAGCACCCTCTTGAACACACTTATTTCATGGAGGAATTCCATATTCCATCTGGAGCAGACCTTGCCATCTTGGTCTCTGCAGAACACCGCTGCATAAGGAGCATCTGTGGTCCCCATGAAACTGCTTCAGATGTGTTGACTTAAGTGGGATGGGTGATCAGTGATGCAGTGTCTGCTGCTGGGACATCAAACATGATGATTTATACCTACCAGGCTTTTAAATTGACCTGCATTCCTACGCCAGCTGAACAGTGGCCCAGCCCAAATTCAAACTTTGCATAGGCAAGGATGTCCAAGTGCTGTTGACTATAACACACTGACTGAACAAGCTTGGAACAATATTCCTCAGAGCTAGGGAGGAAATTTAAGACTGTTCTGTACCTGACAGATACTATAACTCCTGTGCTTCCATAGGGTGCCTGATAGCCTGTGTGTTTACTTAGAGATATACAATTCTACAGATCATGATTGCAATGCAGGTGAGCTTTTTCAACAAGAAAAGTGTTTTTATCAGAGAGGAAATAAAGCTTCTGAGCAGGTTATTTTTTTAACAGGAAGGATAAAAAAAGAAAATAAAAAAGCTTTATCACCGTAGTGATGTTTCTAACACTTCAAGTGCTCCAGCTGAACAGATTGAGGATTTTTTTCGTGTCTGTATGAGGTGGTTTAAGAGCAACCTGAAATAGATTCGTGAGTAAGGGCTCTGCAGAGGTGTCTGTAGGGAAGCTGCAGAGTTGTTGCCAGCTGCCCTGGTAGCTGCCTCCTGTAAGGAAAAGCAGGAGAAGCAGAGCTCACATATCAGCATGCCCAAGACTGTGGGTCACTTGGTTGGTTCTGTAGGGCCAGTGTTGCTTTCTCAAGCTGTCTCCCTACACATTAGCTCCTGCTGATTTTTTCTACCACAGGGTCTGAGCTCAGAGCTTTCACAGAGAGAAAATCAATGCTTGTTGGTTGAGTACACTCTTATCTTTGTTGGCACTGCACAAGACCTTGTGATCACTTCCCTGGTGTGTTGATGGATGAGGGAAAATGTTCTGTGAGATGTTTGAACCACCCCACCAGTAGGGATCATCTGGTGTTGGTTACAGTAAAGGTTTGCTTTTTCTAAGCTCTGCTGCTGTTTATACCCGCAACTTTCTTGCTCTGGTTTTAGTTGGCAAGATCAGCACTAGCTGCAGTGGGAACTGGCCTAATTCACTGGTTGCCCAGCTTAGGTTTTGGTGGCTGCCACTTGCCTATGACATTAAGAGGTGACCTGAAGGACTAATTCCCAGCAGTTGGTTTTGGTAGGGAATTTAAAGTGCTTTAAGTCTGATGCGTTGCTATGAATTTGGCAGGCTTAATTCTCCTTTGCTTTGTGCTTATGGGGTGAATCCCAAGGAAAATAGCTGCACAAGGGATGCAGGACTGGGCTCCCACTGTCAAAGCTGTGGTGGGAAGGGTGCTGCTGTTGCACAGGGCTGCAGTTCGGGTCCCTCTGTTCAGCATGTGGGAGCCCTTTGAAATGGTCAACCAGATCCAGTCCCTCTCTGGACAGGTTATCGGTTATTAAAGCTGTGCTTTACTGTCTGCAATTATGAATGTTCTGTTCTTGAACGAGGTATCAGGCTCTAAAAGAGACACTTGGATTGGAGAAGATAGGTACATTGTAGTCCTTACCAGGGTTGCCAGGCCCACTGCTTTGATTTAGATTTTGCTTTGTTTCACAGCTTGCAAATCAGAGAATTCTTTTGGAAAAATACTGAGTTTTGGCTTCTCCAAACTTTTATTGTTAGATTTTAATTAAAATTTGGAATAAACCTGATTAGTTTATGGCAGATTTTCATGTATTAGATGCTTACAGAAGCAGAGCAGAGCTCAGCTAGGTAAATTAGGCTCCAAAATCCCATTGGTTTTTAATGACAACAAAACAAGCTAAATGTTTAAGCAGTTTTCTCAGATATCTGGTGTAAGGAGCTGAAATATGATAGAGTTTAGAATACCTGATCATTACTTCTGTGAAACACCTCCATTCCTGCAGAAGCACTTAATATTAGGAAGTGTTTCATTGGAATCTTACAGTTCAATCACTTCTATTAAGTTAAACAAGACTACAGCACAGAGAATAATACTCATCACTCCTTTTCCCACTCACTGCTAATTAATTTTTTACAAACCTGTGCTGGAACCTGCTCTGTGTATTTCCAAGTCTGCTGAAAGCCAAACCATTTTTATTACTCATTTCCTTGATAAACATCTCTCCTCAATTCCTTTGAGACATAGGGAGACGAATGCATCTCTCTCCTTTGCCAGGTGTTTCAAGCAAGACTCACCAATTGCTTTGAACAGGCTGTTCTTGAAAGAAGCACAGTCCTATTTGGCATTTTATGCTGCTACATAGAAGACATCATAATAATGCGTATTACTTCTGGTGAGCAATAGCACAGGGGGGCTAACTTAGTCTATTTGAACTTCTTAAACTGATTTGCAGTTATAACTATGATGTGTTGCTTTGAATTAACTAAGTTGGATTTTTTTTTTTCCCCTCCTATTTTTGTGGGTTCTTTGCTTTTTTTTGTCTGTTGCTTTTGTAACTTTTCTTAGCCTAAGGGCAATCCATCCACGTTTTGGATCCTCTAAAATACTCTTTCACAGACTACTTCACCTCTTTCTTTCAGTGGAGTCTTCAGAAAAATGGAAGCAGCTTTGAAGGAGCAATCAGCTTAAAATGTGTGAGGCTGCCAAGATCCTGTGTCAAGCCAGTCCCCAGCAGTGTCGAGTAGGACAGCTGTGTTAAAACGCCAGTGCACCTCCCACCACTGCAAACACAGCCACAAGTGCCTTGTCCTCTGCTGCCAGTTGTAGAGGCACGAACTTCGCCAGAGCATTGCCCCTTACAAACAAGTGTCCAGGCAGTGATGGGAGACAGGGGAGGACAGGACCCCAGGAACAAAGAGAGCAGGAGGAGGGATTTGGAGGGGAAAAACAGCCCCAGGGGCACAGGTGGGTGAGTAGGTGCCTCAGGTTGGGCTTTTGGGCAGCTGCTCTCCTGGGTGTTGGCCCCACCCCAGCCAGTCACCCTGTGGACAGGAGAAGGAGGCAGCCCCAGTGGGGAAGAGTGCTCCTTCCTTGCTAGTTTAAACTCAGTTTAACAGCGCTTCTGTCCTGTTTCCCTCCCCACCATCATCCCTCCACCAACCTCCAGTTCCTTTATGTCTTTTGTGGTGGTGCTAATGAGATCCCTGGAGGAGTTTTCCATTTAAAATGAAACAGATGTCTCTGAGCCCAAAGAGCCTGATGTCAGTCAGCAACAGAGCAATGAACCCACACACAACCACTTAAGGATTCTCTCTTGGAGGCCTCTTATCTACTCGCTCAGTGGCTTTTTTGCTGCCTTACTCCCTCTGATAGGAAGATGTGTGCCTTTCTGCATGTTTTCCACACTCTGTTTTGTCCACTGAAGGGGTGGTTTGCTGCAAGATGTTGCTTGCTTACTGGGGAGGCCATACATTCTCCAGTGTGGATGTGTTCAAGGAAACATGGAAAGCAAGAGGAGGGGATGTGCTTTAGTTAACAGTATACGGACAAAGAAGAAAGCACAGTTGGGATCTCAAAGGTCAACTTCAAGGTTCCCAGCTAATGTTCTTACTCACACCGCTTGCACCAGTTTTAGCACTTGATCTTCAGCATTTCACTTTGGAGATAGTTCTTACCCTGCCAGCCCAACTGCTGAGATTCCTTGTCTCTTCCCTTTCCTCTGGCCAGATCCAAGGACGGGTGTTCATGTTTCATGCAGCCTGCTGCAGTTTCACATGGAGCTGCTATTCCTGCCTTTCTGCCCCCAGCAGGTTGGCACAGCCCCTCTGCTCTGCAGGTGTTTCTAGCAAAGGCAATGGAAATTTGGCTTTAACCAAAGCAGGAAGAGGCCCTGCTGGCCCAGCTGGCTGCAAATTATGGCCAAGATCTATGGATTTGATGCAATCTCTCTTTGCAAATAGATTTACACTGGAACTGTCTTGTTGTCTTTGAGTCATCATGAAACTGATACATCTGGCTTCTTGGTGGTTCTGCTTAAGGTGTTGCTTGCTTGCTTTTATGGCAAGGGTGTTGTACATCTGCTGGAGGGCACACAGAATATTGGAGCAGCCCCCAGCTACTCAAGTTAATGGTGCCAGGGATAAAAAAGAGCTGAGATGAGGATCCAGCATAATTTCTGTAGTAGTAAATCTGTCTGCAGGTGCTGGTCTGCAGGAATCCAGAGAAAAGCATCCTACAGGCAAAAATTATGGAGAAGGGTAATACCAACTGCTTCAGCAATAGATACAGCTGGAAAAAATAAACATGCTCTGGAGTGTGCTATAAGTAATTACAGAAACGGTATTGGCCTTTCCCTGCCAGCTCACATTGCTTAACCAACACAGATCTGCCACAGCTACAAGGGCATTGATACTGATGGATGTAGGGAGCTATTGCTAAAGGATGTACGTGGAGGAAGGAAGGTCTTCAGTGTGAATCAGATGTTGTTGCTCATAATTTTTCACTAGTATTTATGCTCTTTTACACACTTAAATATGAGCTGCTGTGGAAAATCTTTTAACTGCCAATTTAAGGGAAATAACCTGGAGAAGTGAGCTGAAGAAGTCAGAGGACTGCATCTGGAGCCCTTCAGTTGCTGTATTGGGTTTGGCGATTAATTGTTTTTTGCTTTGGGTGTTACCACGTGGTCTGCTACTCAGATTTGTTAGAATTAAAAACCCAAACCCAAACCCATACAATTTCCACAAAGGAAGCTCAGAGCAAAATAGGAAGTTCCTGTTCTGTAGGAGAGTTCTGCTACTGATGATGATTGAGAGAGACCTGCTGGGTTTTACAGAAGAGGAAAGAAACCCTAATTGACTGTAGTCTCACCCTAGATCAGCCCTGGAGCCAGACGTGGCCTTCCCCACTCATAACAAATGTGAGGTATCTGTCTGGACCCCCTCTTTGAGACTGTGAGGAGAGAGGGCACACATGGAGTGCTCCTCCTGAGGCCTGGAAAAACCTGTGCTGCCATCTTTTTATCTGCTTTTTGAATGAGGTTTTGAAAACATCCAAGTGAATAGCTGTTCATTTGTTGTTATGGGTTTTAAATGATGATAGAATCATAGAATTAACTAAGTTGGAAAAGACCTTTAGGATCATCAAATCCAACTGTTACCCCAGGACTGCCAAGACCACCACTAAACCATACCACTGTGAGCTTCATCTAAACAGTGTGTGAACGCCTCCAAGGATCGTGACTCCACCACTGCCCTGGGCAGCCTGTTCCAATACCTGAGCACTCTCTCTGTGAAGAAATCATTCCTAATACCCAATCTAAACTTCCCCTGGTGCAGCTTCAGGCTGTTACCTCTTGTCCTATCACTTGTTACTTGAGAGAAGAGGGAGACCACCACCTCACTATATCCTCTTTTCAGGTAGTTGTAGGGAGCGATAAGGTCCCCCCTGAGCATTCTCTTCTCTGGACTAAACATCCCCAGGTCCTTCAGCTTCCCCATCACATTTGTGCTCCAGACTCTTCACCAGCTTCATTCGCCTTTTCTGGCCCCGCTCCAGCACCTCAATGTCTCTGCGGTAGTGAGGGGCCCAGAACCGAACCCAGGATTCAAGGTGCAGCCTCACCAGTGCCCAGTACAGGGGAACAATCACTGCCCTGGCCCTGCTGCCACACTATTACTGATACAGGCCAGGATGCTGTTGGCCCTCTTGGCTGCCTGGGCACAAGCTGGCTCATGTTCAGCCACCATCGCTCAGCACCCCCAGGTCCTTTTCTGCTGGGCAGCAGAAATGAGGCAATCTTGGTTTGGAAGGTACATATCCAGGAAGTCAGTCTGGGGTCCTGCTGTGGGGGATCATGCTGCTTCTCTACACACCAAGGGCCAGAGGGGAGGTGAAGTGCCTCCAGGGAAATCATGCTTCTGCTTCAGCTCCTCCAGGCTCATGCGGCTGCACAGCCACTGCCTTTAACATCCTGGTTTTCTTATTAGAAATCTCTGATGTGGCAAGAAGAGGGAAAAGAGGACTCACTACTCTTCAACCCTTTAGGAAATGAGATAGAAGCAATGACAAAACAGAGAATAGGCAGCTGCAGAAAGCATGAAGATAGATGGTGACAGAGGAGAGCATGAAACTTTGATTTTAAAGAGCAATGTAGGCAGAACAGCCTGGATGCAGCTGAAAAATTTGGATTATGACTCACATCTACAAGTCTTGGCTGGCATCTCACAGAGGATGTGGTAAGCTCTGTGCTACTGGAACATGCCACCTTTTGAGATGTTTGCATCCCTCACGGTCAGGGCTGCCTGCAGTTCTTCTGTGTGCTGCTCACTTCCAGCTACAATATTCAGCTCAAGCCAGTAAGCCTGCCAAAAATAGATATATGTCTTATGCTGAGACAGAAGGAAGGGCAAAGATTTAGCCCTTTGGAATAGACATCTCTGGAGCAGGTGATACATTTGACACAGGTCTTGTAGAGAGGTATTTTTTCTTAGCTGTATTTGTTTTCTTTGGAGTATGAGTCTGATTCCTGTGTCCATGCTGTTTTGCACAGTAGGTGGTTGAGAGGCTTAGTGTTGAGGAAGGGTAAATTACCTTCAAGGAAAATGGAGAGGGGATAAGTCTCAGCACTTGTTTAGGTGGGTGATAATCCGGCATGCTGGGATGTGGTTTGGAAAGAGTTGGCCAAAGTGATTGTGTGGTTGGAAGTGCTACTACAAAGCACCTCTAGGGTCACTGCCTTCATAGCAGCCTTCCAGTATCTGAAGGGGGGCTATAGGGATGCTGGGGAGGGACTCTTCATTAGGGACTGTAGTGACAGGACAAAGGGTAACGGGTTAAAATTTAACAGGGGAAGTTTAGACTGGATATACGGAAGAAGTTCTTTACTTCTGAGGGTGGTGAGGCACTGGAATGGGTTGCCCAAGGAAGCTGTGAATGCTCCATCCCTGGCGGTGTTCAAGGACAGGTTGGACAGAGCCTTGGGTGAAATGGTTTAGTGTGAGGTGTCCCTGCCCATGGCAGGGGGGTTGGAACTAGATGATCTTAAGGTCCTTTCCAACCCTAACTATTCTATGATTCTATGATTCACATACAGGGCCCCCACACTCGTTGCAGAACAAAGGGGAGGAAGCTTGTGTCCTTTGTGAGCAAAACCAGAAATTATGTGCTAGAGGCGCATTCCTAGGAAACAGGTGAAAATTCATCGTGAAATTCCCTCTTGGGATGGGAGGGAATCTATATCCAGAATATCCAAGTTATTAATATCCAAGATATTTGTGGCAGTTACATCTAGAAAGGCCTTGCACTGTGGTTATTTTTCATCCCTTCTGAAGTCAAAGACATGAATCAGCTCATGCTCTTACTCCAAAGGTTCAATGCTTTTGAAGTGACTTAGCTCTCCCTCTGCCCTATCCCTACATACAGGAGAGGATGAACACTCCCCTGCAAATGTTCCTGCCCGTAGATATGTCCCAATGTTCACGTTCCAGCTTTGTTGCTGCCATGACCCCTGATATACCGCTGAGTTTACACTGTCTGGGTATCAGTTACTATGTGGAATATCTGCCTTCTCCTGTCATGTTGCTATTCCCTGAATTTCAAGAACATTCAGTCCTGTTGTGTTTTGGGTGGGGCTTTTTTTTGCCTTCCATGACTGGAAGAAGCCACAGAAGCATAGTCACAGGCTTGTTACTTTTGATCCAACTCTGCTTAGGTGTCATCAGAAGGACTGATACAGTGGCTTGGAAGTGTGGCCATCCATGGGTGGATAGGTGATGGCTCCTTCCAGGTAAATAACAGGGTTTTCGGGATGTTAAGTGCCAAGAGTGGTACAAGGCCCTCATGGAAATGGCCCATATTCTGTACATTTCTCTCCAGCCTGTGCAATAACCTCAGGGAAACTGTTTCCTTCTGGGAGATGAAGTGCTTTCCTCTGCCTGCCTTGCACTTGACTTGGCTTTGATGCTTCCTTGGTTTCAGCACTCAGTGAAGCACAAACCATTGAATTTTAAAGCCCCTCTGCTGTTGGTTTCTCTCCATTCACTTTATTTGCTTCTGTGATCATTTCATTTTTTCCTCCACTGCATAATTTAAGGCAGGAAAATAACCTGTTTACCTGGAGGCAAGGAACCAGGCAATACTGGCCTGCTTTGTACCCAAACACGCTCCACCACCATGAGCTCAGTAGGCAGCTGGGCTGCTTTGGTACAGCTTTCAAAAGCAGACTTAGATGTAACCACTGAACATTTACCTGCCAGGCAGAAAAACTGCTGTGTGCATGCTCAGGGCAAGATCCCTTGCAAGTTGCCCCTTTGTGCAGTGAGAAACATACCTCTGAGCTTTGCTTTTCCCTTGCTCTACCCCAACCATGAGGTGCTGCTCAGCACGGCTGGCTGCATGACCCTAGGGGAGAATGATCCCAGGCACCCTCCTGCCTGCTGCCTGCTTTAAGAGCTGTCAGGAAGTTTTCCCAGCTTTCCCTAAATGATGCTGCTGCAGCTCTGGCAACTGGCACAGAAGGAGAGCAGGAACTCCTGATCTCTGTTACGAAAGTTGAGTACGTGCAAGGCACATTTGTTTCTTCCCTGGTTGCAGTGGCCTGAAACAGTGAAGGTGTCCCTCTGCAGCCCGTGTTCCTTCCACCCACCTCCCCTCTGTCTCCTGGTGTGAGCCCCTAGAGCTGCATACCCTGCACCGTCCCAGGGCTGCTCCCAGGAAGCTGTGCCTAAGCTTTAGTCTTCCTTTGCCCCCTCCGTTCGTCTCTCTGTGCTCTCTAGTAGCACGTAGAGGTTGCTTTTGCAAAGGCATTTGCTGTCTTTCACTGTAGAACAAATCCAAGTATGTTTTTCCCTTCAGCTTGTTCAGAAAAGCGTCCTGGCTCACAGCAGAGGAGCAGTGCTCCAAGGCTGGGTTAAGATGACACCTAAAACCCACAACACCCTTAAGGGCCCTGGGTATATAAGATTCCACAGGATCTTC